CACTCAACTCAGCTGGCATCTTTGACTCATCTCAGCCAGGCCCTGGGGCCAATACCCTCTCTCAAAACAACAAAGGCCTTCTCTTCCTCCTCTCCCATGCAGAAGTCCCACTCAAACTGCAGATCAGGTTCAATGGCTATGGCAAGCACCTTTTGGCCACCCAGCTCATGTGAACACCGACAAGCACAGGGCTCAGGGAAATCTGCGGCATACAAGCATACTGCTCACTGTCAACCTGAACTCTTCCCTACAGGGATGCAAGAAAAGGGCAACATTAAAACCCAAATGACATATAATTGTGTGCAAAATTATTTCAGTAAGACACAGGACTCGATTCCCCAGGTGTGAAAATGATTGGTTGAATCCGCAACCGCATGCAAAGCTATCTCAGTCACAGCAACTTCTCCCTCAAATGTCCCTATACTTGGAACACTAACTCTACCTTGAATCCCCTACTGGTATACCATGTTTCCAAGCGAAGGGAGGGAATATGTAAATTTTACAGCACTTAGAACATTGAACTTTTAAACTGAAATAAGATCTCGATTATATCAGACACAGTTCTGCCATAATTAAACCCATGGTCCAGTAGACAGGGCTGCCTAACTTTAACACTTCTGCTCAAAAAAAGCAGAAAGCTAGAAAATTGTGTCTAAATTTCCTATATTACTGTCAAGGTTCCTTGGGTGAATCTGATACGTTTTATTAGACCAAGAAGATGAGCACACACCAACTGCTGAAACTTCCTTAGCCTGATGAAGGGTTTTTGAACCCAAAAGCTTGCTTAATAACTATTCTCCAACTATTTGGGTTGGTCTAATAAAAGGTATCAGATTCACCCAAGGAACCCTGTCTGCCTATGTCCTTAGACCAACGCGGCTACAACCTACACCCCTGCTACATTACTGTGACATTCATTCTTTTTTTAAGACTAATAGCCTGTTGCAAATCAATACCCAGACATACAAGGTTAGAGGTTTAAAAATAGTAATAGTTGCTGCAACCTATAGTGAAAAATATGATCTTAGGTCTCATTTAACCTTAATAATGGAATTAATTACTATACACTCAAATTAAAACACCTGCTCAAGTTTTTGCAGGATTGGCACCTCACAATAGCTACATGCTTACATACATCCATACCACTCTGCATCATGCCAAAAACATCATTTGAAAGCTGACATAATTCAAATGGACGCCAAGTGATCCTCAGTACTCCTCTTGAAATATGCATACAATGTATAAGAATCAGCCATATATACCTAGAATATTTCCAAGGCAAGAGGCAGGGGTATAGTTGGGTATGTGGTAGTATTGGAGGGCAATGAGCAATGGAGGACTACTAAACAAACAGGTATTCTAACATGCTGGGGCAGGGAAGGCATGAGAAGAGGAGGGTAAAACTGCTGCGTAACAAAAGTAATACTGTTTTGGTTGCTAGCTGGACTCCACTGAAACACACTTTCAACCTTAATGTTTTTGTTTGGGATAAGCCCACTCAATCGAAACCCTGAACTAGTAGTTAACTTCTGCTGGCATTGTATTAACATCCCATAAATATGTAGTTACTTTATAAAAGAAACAGTTAATAGGGGTGGGTTTTTTTTGGTTTTTTTTTTTTTTTTTTTTTTCCCCAGATGGCAAATATTGCCAATTTTAGCCTGACACAACTGCTTATCCCTGTATGCTACTAAATCAAGTTCAGTTCCTTTTCAGAGACTGCAGACAGACTAGGGGACTCGAAATTTCAAGGTCCAAAAGTTCTTCTGTCAGAAAAATTCCCATCAGGTCCGACAGGAGCTTTGCTTCCACAGGAACTACAGGTCTGGACCCTCCCCTGGGTAGCACTTCAGATACTGATCTCTTCAACAAGTCGCAAGCCAAGTTCAAGAACCAAGCAACAAGTCACTTGTAGGAAACTGCTCCTTGGGCAAAAGTAAAGTCTCTTTACAACTGCATCTTATGAGTAGAGACCTACCGAATTCATGACAGAAGTGGGATGCACTGTGGTTCCTTTAGTCTTGAAGGTTCCCCACGCCCCCCAGCCAATTGGTGGAGGGGCCCCACTTATGGCTCACGCCCAATCAGTGGGAAAGCAAAAACTGCAGTTTTAAATATGGCGCCACTTTTGCCTCCTGCCACTGATTGGCTGAGGGGCCCCAGATGGCCCTGCTGTTTGCTGCTGACTGGTGGGGAGGTAAAGATGGCGCCATGTTTAAAACCAGTTTTAGTTTCCCTACTGATCAGGAGGGAGCTGCAGGATCCTCCACTAATTAGCAAGGGGAGAGGTGCATATAGGAGAACATGCAAGATTAAAGGAGCCACCACTCACTCTACTTCCACCATGAATTTGGTAGGTTCCTACTTATGAGCTTAACCAGGTTTGAAATCAAGTACATTCCATATTCAAGTGACCTTAGCATTTTCCACCCAGTTTATGCATCAACCAGTGCTTATGACAGTACCCAGTGCAGCAACAGTAGTACAAAGACTTATTTAAAATAAGCATTTCCATAGTTTTAAGGAAGCATGTTTGACTGAGTGAAAAAGTTTAGGTTTCTGCGATTACAGAAAGAACTGGTGTTTCTTTCTTGAGTACAAGAATGATGTTCACAGCTAAATTACAGCTGTGTGCGCTATAACCAACGAACCCGTATTTAAAAAAAAAAAACAACTCTAGCATCTTTTGTTCCAACAATACCATGTACGTTCTCTCAATAAGGTTGTGAAACTTGCATTAAGCTGTAATTATGGCAATAATGTCAGAAAATCTTTCCTAAGGGTATATTACAGTAAGCACTTTGCAGCTATAACTGCAGCCATTACCTATGAACATATTTTGATAGCATCATGTAAAACTTAATTTGGGTTTGTTATTCACCAAAAAAGTTGTCAATGTAACCAATTTTTGATGAGATATGAACATGGGAACTTCACTTTTTGGAGGTCAAGAAACTGTCTCTTTTTAAAGAAGAGGAGGTTAAAGTAAATTAGGAATACAGAGAAAATTGTGGTAGTTAAGTTGCTTATTACAGTGGTATTTCTCCCTTCCTGTTCTGAAGATTTAAGTTCAAGCCTTACCTACAGTTCTTAAAATAATGAACTACATTAAACCATACATCTGTAAAACATACCACAAATGATGTAAGAGATTTTCAGAAGTGACAAGTGGATTTACAGAATTTCAATTCATTTTGATGGGAAACTTGCAGCTAAATCCACTATTTGGCTTGGGGAAAAAATACCACTCTGCATGATCTGCCACAAGGAACTCCTGCCATTGATTAAAGAGAAATACCCACAGTTTCCAAAGAAGCCCTATCCCTTCTGTCCTGACTAGAGGGTGGGCTCTCAAAAGAAACTTCAAAGGATGGTGGAGAGAGAGGAGATGCTTTTCAGCATTCACGCACATAGAAAGCCCTCCATCTAGGAAAACAGGGGCATCTCCTGGAGCCTTCTCTCCCTTCCTGGGATGTAGCCCTCAGGAAACAAAACACCTACCACCAATACTGTGTGTGTGCACACATGTGCACGTACACATATGCACACATTTTTATTTTTTTTTTTTAAGCAGACACATCTGGGCAAATTTAGCATAAAAGATGCAGAGACATCTTAGCAAATTTATGCCTAGGGAATGTGGTGAAGTTTGTTTTAAGAGCAATTCTCAATCAAGGTGTCATGGCACCCTGCAATGTCCCAAGAGCCTGTCAAGGGTGCCACGTAATGTTAGCACTGTAAAACATACAAAACATTCTTAAGGTAAACCCAGAGATTTTCAAATAGGAATCTAAAGTGTTAAAAATAATTCTGATCTGTTGTGGTCTTTCTGAGTTCTCTGCAACAAAAGAATTGCTCTATTATCTTTCTGTAGTCAAACAACAAGTGAAATCTAAGAGCTGGCATTTTCTGAAGGGTGTCTAATGAAGATATGGGTGCTTGAGTCAAAAGAAGCTGACAGCACCAAACTGGGTACCCTGATCAGATATGTTGACAAATACACGAAAAGACCATTTAGTATTCCGACTCACCCCAGTCCCTTAACTCTGGACTACGCAAATCTTAGTCAAATATTTGATAATTACTCTGCAGATATCCCAAGTACTTCAGTGAAACAATTTAAGAGTGACACTTAAGATTCTGATGCAGATTACAATTCCATGCTTATCTCAAAAAACAGGTGTTTGACATCAGAAATCTTTCCATTTATTTTTCTCCTATTAATTAAAAACAGAAAAAAAAGCTGTGCAGGTTCTCTCCATAGCATGTGTAAAAGGGATGCCAGGTAAGTCCAAAAAGTTTCAGACCAAGACAGATTTATATGGACAACTTTAAAAGTCAATGCAAAGAAGTTAACAGAACAACTGAAGAGTATCTGACTTGTAAACTTCTCCCCACCCCCAGCCCACCACTGGATTGGTGAGGTTAAGAATTGAACCAAGGTACATTTCCAATCGTAGTACTATGTTCCAAGGTTTCTGGGGGTGGTTAGCACAATTATTGTTGCTATATTAACCAATACTGCCTTCACCACTCACTACGCCCCCACCTTCCTTAGTTTCCGTGGCAAGACCTTAACCTAATTTACATAACTAAAACTAGTCCAATACAGAACTTTCTATCAGGGACATTCCATCAGTCCACTATCCTGTGTTCAAGAGAATATACACCACATTGTATGAAAACCAAAAGCAGACAGGATATTTGGACAGTACTTTGTTATTCTTTGGGTGTTCTTATTCTTTGGGAAAGCACTCAAACAGTACTCACAGTTCCAAACAATTGGACAAGTCTTAGTATGTCCTGAGTCTTTCAGGAATCTGGCCTGATGTCATGTGCCTGCACAACATTTTGTTCTTACTGAAACGTTGGTTAGTTTGGTGTCTTAAGATTAATATGCATATAGTCTAAAAGAAATGCCATGTCCTCAGGGATATTCAAAATATATTTAAGAAAAATAAAGCATGAGCTAAAAGGTTTCTTACCATGATCTTGCTTACCCATTGCACTTAAATAATGATTAAAGGCTTGACATGGGGGACTTGGAGTCTGTGTGGACTTGTCGCAACTCATAGGCGCAGGACTCCTGTCTGTGTCGAAAGAGAAATACCCGCTGGAGGATCTAGACAGCAGTGAAGATCTTCTTACAAAGATGAAAAGTGGGGATCTGGTTGCAAACGGACTGGGGCTAGTGGGTGGCGCAAATGGTCCCTGAGGGCTGCTGGGTGAAGAGCCGTCCCCCTCACCTGAAAGGTTACCTTGATACTGTGTTTGTATAGAGGTAGGGGCCCCAGGCCTAACGGGCTGAGGCTGACTTGGCCTTTCACTACGCTGTAACTGTCTGTCTTCACTGCCGCACTTGGAATTCAAATCAGAGGGTTGCTTTGCCATTTGGTCTTTTTTTCCCTGCAGAGAAAGAGAAAGCATCGCAAGTAAGCTCTCCCGGCTCCACAGCGACACAGCACCGGGGCTTTGCAGCCACACAGCGCCATCCCCAAGTTTTGAGAAACAAGCTCCGTCCGCCAGGATTAAACTGGGGGAGCGACTAGATAAGAAGCATCTCCCCCAACTGCTCCGCACAAACAAACAAAGAAATACAACAACAACACACTGCCTTTTTTCCACAGACCAAAAACCCCCAGCGGTCTCGACCAGAGCGCTCCTGGAGACAGCCGGCCGCCAACAAAAGCTATTACATTTTGAAGTGAAACTTGCGAGCCAAGCAGCTGCGCTCCAAGCCCGCTCGGCTCTGCCCGAAACTTGCTGTGCTGAGGCTGGGAGGGCGAAAGAGCGGCGGGTCCGCGCTGTGCCCGCCCCGCCGCCGGCGAGCAGGAGGGGGCGGCGGCGAGGAGGAGCCGCCCGGCCGCGGCCCCGTCCCAGCCCATTGTTCTCCCGAATGTGCTGAGCGCAGCAAGTCTGCG